GGTGTTAATCATGGATATTATCATCTTCATTATTTTAATTTTAGAGAAATACATGAAACAGTTTCATTAAAATTTCATTAAATATTATATGAAACAATTTCATAACCATATATGAAACAAATTCATCAAAAAAAGTATTATATGAAACAATTTCATAACCATATATGAAACAAATTCATCAAAAAAAGTATTATAGGAAACAATTTCATAAGATTAAACAATGAAATCGACGTATGAGGATGGTTTGTACGGTTTTTACAAATGAGTATAGTTTTCATATGTTCTATTATTTGGCATGTCAGCATGTTAACTTGTTAATTGTTGAACCGGTTACTCAAATAAATTATTTGAGATTTTCACCTTGGTTAACAAAACGAAGGTTATGAAAATACGTTACTCACTAAAAAATCAAAATAAAGTATGTTACATTTTCATATGTAAATAAGATCAGCATGTTTATAAAATGGGTAGGGAGCAAGTTCTCAAGCCCACAAAACGAGTTTAGATTTGCTATATTAGATCGTTGAACAATAAATACGTTAGGACCGGTCTTGGGACCGACCAAAGCACGCAAATAATCATCTCTACAACTTAATACGTTACTTTTAGCAAACGTGAACAATTGTCAGTTTGTTAGCTGTCAAATAATTTTTCAGCTAACAATTAGATTATCAACTAGTTTGTCAAACATAATATAAGATACAAAAAAATGTAATCATTTCTAATTAAGCGTCATCAACAACAAATGAAACAAATCGGAACGAAACAGAAACCTAACAGATGTAAAACAATATTTTCCGATTTTTACCGTCAATTTGTACTAACGAACACAATAATTAAAGTTGTACAAGTATGGTCCCTGTACTTTTACTTTATTCATAAATTTGTCGATTGTGGTGGCTTCACTTTTGCATTCACGTCACTTGTTTTTGGAGGACCATTTCCTTCACTTGTCTTGTTGAACATATTCTCCACCTTTGCTTCCATTTCATCCATCTACGATATAAATATTAAAACTGTAAGAGGAATCGTTGTGAACACACAATCACTCGTGCAATAATGTTATAATATATAGGGTATATATACAAGTTAAGTTCCATTAGAAACTTAAAATTGTTAGGAATTCAAGAACCGTTCACAACACAGCATGTGACATATTCATTATGAATATAGATGTGTTATTGATTATGAATGTTGTAACATATTCATCATTAATATTTGTGATTTGTGTGAATATGTGGAACCCCCAAATCACTCTTCAAAAGAGCCCTTGAGGAGAAAGGGAAGGTTCCAACGTATATACTGCAAATATGGTCTAAGTCTAACCAATGTGTGACTCCAACAAGCCCCCCCCTCCCCCCCAAAACGGAGGCTAGATGGGCACAGATTGATCCAGAGTGTCGAGAGGGGGCTAGCCAGAGTGTCTTATCCCTAGAGTGGTAGACCTTAGTTCTGATATTATGTGTGAATATGTAGAACCCCCAGATCACTTTTCAGAAGAGCATTTGAGGAGAAATGAGAGGTTCCAACATATATACTGGAAAAATGGTCAAAGTCTAGCCGATGAGGGACTCCAACACTCCCCCTACAATGAAGGCTAGATAGAAACAAATTGACCCAGAATATCGAGAGGGGTTAGCCAGAGTGTCGGATCCCTAGAGTAGTAGACCTTGACTCTAATACTATGTGTGAATATGTAGAATCACATATCACTTTTCAAAAGAGCCTTTGAGGAGAAAGGGAATGGTCCAACATATATATTGGAGAAATGGTCCAAGTCTAGCCGATGTGGAACTCCAACATGATTCATGATGAATAACACATCCATATTAATCATGAATTACAACTTCCATATCATAAATGTGTTACTCATGATGAATATTCATTCTAAATAGGGACATGTGGTGCACTGTTTATGGTTCTTGGGTTCTATATTAGAAAGAACTATTGAAAAAAAAAGTTGAGAACTGTGAAAAATACCTTGTCAACAAGATCAGAGACCATATGAGCGTCTTTGCCTATTCTATCGGCAACACTTTCAACCTTTTCCAATGTTTGTCTTAACGCACTACCTTCTGGCAAATCATCGGCTATATCATCGACAAAATTCTCCACCTTCTCCGCTATCTCTTCTACTCGATCCGCCACGCTATCCACCGCCACCTCCACCTTGTCCAACTCCTCTACACCACCCAATGTTTTTGTAAACTAATTTAGTTAAGTGCATAATATATTTTTACTACAATGTATTTCATTCTTTATATAATTTTCAAAATATTGTATTTACGTATATCTTTTAACCTAAAATGTATTACCTTTAAATTTTGCAAACGGACCCCATTTATTTGTGAAAAATGGTACGATTACAGCAAAGAGAAATCCAGGAATCCATGCTGGCCTGTAAAAAAAATAGTAACCATGGTTAAAACATATATTATTAATTTTTTTTTTTGCAAATTAATCAATTTTAAAAAAAAATTATAAATAAATAATTCGTAACTTAAATAACTAACCAAGAATCAGGTAGATGAATTCCAAGAGGGAGGAGATCTCCGACTTGATCACCAGCATAGACTACGAACTCCCTAAAGTATATTCAATTACATTAATTACATGAGAAAAACGATACAATATTATCATCAGATAAAAATATAATAATACAAAAAACCCATCATTTTTCAAATTCATATATGATATAAATATTTATTCTGTGACAGGAATTGTTGGTCAATTATTATTCTATCAAAATTCTTGAACCATTATCAAACGGCATGTTAAATAACATCGATGATATTGATATATTCAAATCCAAAGAGGTCTAAAAATCCTCTTGTAGCCACAGAGATTTAAATGTGGTGATTCCGGCCTACCCAGAATACAGGTGGTCGACCTGAGATCAGTCAGCTCACATAGCCGGTTGAATATCCAGATTAATAAATAAATCCTCACATTTATTTTAAAAGTCTACTTTTCATCCTACTTTTAGTTATGAGCTTAAAAAAATCTCTATCTACTATTAAAGACAAAATTGTCATTTAATTAAATTACTAGTGAAATCTTAAATAAAATTGGATGTTTTTTTTTTTTTTTTTTTCTGTTACAACAAAGTTGGGTTTATAGGACGTCTAAGATGTTTAAGGGTACTACTAGCATACTTTATAACACTTAAGTTTATACTTTATAGGAGCAAACTGTAAAATATCTTAGCTAAAACTGTTACAATAGGTTTATAAGATGCTTTTAGATGTTTTGCATATTTTTTATGACGCTTTTAAACTAAAATGTTGTATTAGCTATTTTATATTACACTTTTAAGAAATGTCCTTTTATAGGACACTTGTATTTACATGATGTTTTTTGAAATAGTGTCATGTAAAACAGTTGACACGACATTTTATTTTAAAAACGTCTTAAAAACTTGTTATAATATCTAAAAACGTCTTATAAAACTATTATAACACCTTTAGATATGACGTTTTTTGATGACTAGATTTAATAAAAAGCTTTTGTTGATATGTGTTTTTGTAATCGCCAATAATGATTGGTCAATCCTATACGAACGGGAGTGACTTTTCATAGTTTCATACCCCCTACTAGGGACGGACCCATTTTTTTTTTTCAAACGATGACATCATTTGACTATAAGAAAAAATATAGGGAAAATTTTCAAATGGTGACACTGTTTGACTATAAGAAATAGATATACGAAACTTTTTTCAAACGGTGACACCATTTGACTAAGAAAATGACACTAACAGGATTCAAACTTGGGTCTGGGGTAAAATAAAAGCTTTGCAAACCAACTTTACTAAATAAACCTTGTTCTCATTGCAGTTTCAAATTACATACAATCGCACACAATAAATTAATACGGTTGCACCTTTTACAAGACTAATTTTTTTTACCCTTCGATATAAGAAAATACGGTGACACGTGCCATCGTATGCTCCAAACCAGGTCCGTCCCTACCCCTACTTACTCACATGTCATGCTATATTTTGCCCCTTACTTTACTCACACACCACCATAGGATTATGAAAGTTAACAAACACTACATTAAAAATTAAAAAATAAAATCAACTATACATTTTGAATCCATACTAACATAATAACATTAAAAATTAGAGTTTATTGTGTAAAAAAAAATAATAATAATTCGTTCAAAGTTGAGTTATCGGGCTACTTATTATTAGATAAACGTCGAAATATAGTAAAAAAATAATTAATAAATAATATAAATTAAGGACAAATTAGGGGGTGTTTGACATTGCTTATAAAAACAACTTATTGATTTATTCTGGTGTGCCATCGATAATAAGCATTTTTAAGTGTTTGGATAAACAGTTTATACCAGTGCCAAACCGGTAATAAGGAGTTTTTAAAGAAGTTAAACCATTCTAACTTATAATAAATTAACAATAACTTTTATAAAAAAAACATAAATTGTTTCAAATAAACAATCACAAACACCCATAAGAGTAGCACCAAGACCTTGTTTTTGTTTACGAGTGAAGCTACTTCTTAAAACTGGAAGATAGATAGATACACAAAGAAGGGGCAAGTTGACTTACATCTTTGACCTGGTATGACATAGAGATAATGGGCTGCCGGAAGTGAGATACCTCCGGTTAGCGGCGGAGAAACGCCCATTGACGGTGGTGAGGGTTGGTAGGGATAGGGTGGAGTTAGTGGCGGAGGAGGAGAAAGGTTCAAAATTGTGAGATTTTGGAAGGCCGGTGGTGGCGGTGGTGGTGACACCACAAGTGATGATGGTTGTCGCCATTCAAATTCAATCTTTCAAACCTTCTTTCACTTTTTAATTCTTATAAGATCTGAAGCTACTCAGGATGAAGAAGCTGAAAAGTCAATGGTCAAATGTATACATACATACTTATATATGTATATACAAACGTGTGTAATTGTGTATATAAATTATGGTTTAAGTCCCTATGGTTTCTAGAAAATTGCTATTTTCGTCCGTATGTTTCTAAAAATTACGGTTTTCATCCACGTTGTCTGAAATTTTTTGTTGTTTCTATTCATATAGTTTACAATTCATTGTTGTTTTTGTCTCTTGTACTTAACAATAAATCATTGACAGAGTTAGATTGAGGGACAAAAACAACAATGATTTATAAACCGCGTGAACAAAACTGTGTTTAGAGATGAAAATCGTAAATATTAACAAATTACAAGGATAAAAATCATAGTTTACATACCGTTGTGCTTATAACATCCCGCTTGTGGTACCTTCAACATTATTATAAGGTCAGATACGTTCGACAAGAGTGTTGCTATTTGAATTCTTTTCGAGGCACGAAAGATCAACTAGTATTAGTGATGGCCAAATCGGCCCGGTCTGGCTCGGGACCGTCGGAGGACCGAGACCAGTAAGGACCGGTTATGGGACCGAAAACCAGGACTGGTTGGGGTTTTTGGTAGTTTCGTGGGACCGGGACCGATTATGGACCGGCCCGGTCCGGCCCGAAAATTCAAATAATTTTATAAATAAATGTATTTTTAAATAATTTTATAATGTATTTTTGTAAGACAATGTAATTTTAATTATATTAAAACGTATTTTTAAAGTGTATTTGAGTGATCAAATTATAAATTTTATAATGTATTAAAAATATATATCATTAAAAAATGTAAAAAAAATCTTATTTTTTAATGCCGGGACCGGTTGGGACCGGGACCCGCGGTCCATAACCGGTTATGAAGTACCTTGACCGGTTCTACCATTTTCTACCGGGACCGGTTATGAGAAAGCTTGAGACCGATTAGACCCAGCCCGGCCTGGGACCGGTTTTTGGTCATCACTAATTTGTATGTAAAATAGTTCATTACTCTTTAATACCTCTAATCAAACACCTCCTAAATCATAATGGGCTGGATTGACTCACCAATACTGTCAAATAATGATGTTGGATAATAATTTTTACTGTAAATTGATGACGAAAAATTAATGAAATTATTTATTGAAAAAAATCTGAAATATATAGTGTATTATACTGGATTATTAGAACTCAACATTTATCATGTATTTTAACGCATTTATCATTTAGTTAAACATCTTTAACATATTCTTTAAAATAGAGAAAATGAAGATTTTGTTCTGTATTATGCTCCAACAGATTCTCTATATTATTTTTTAAATAAAAAAACTCGAAGTTTATAAAACTTAAATGAGGAGAGATGATTTTTTATTCATTCTCACCATGAAGATTAAGGTGCCGTTTACCAAATGCTTACTTGAGTAAACACTTACCAAATTACATTACCTTATCGAATGAGCATGAAAATGACCATGAATCTTACCCGGTAAGAACGAGACAATGACCTAGAGTCTTACCAGGTAAGTGAGAGGAATGACTCTTACCACGGTCAGCTTTTACCGGATAATTCGTCGCATAGATTGCCCTTTTTTGTTGACTAAAATCTTACCCGGTAAGTAAATTATAATGTTGAATTTTACCGTTAGATGCTTACCGGATAAGTATTTGGTAAACGGTCCTAAATTAATTATTTTATTTTATTATTAAAAAATATATAAAATAATTTCAAATTAAAAAAGAAAAACTATATTTCAAAATAAGAAATTCATGGTATCCCTTTTAGGAAACTGATGGTTGAGATTCAAAGACATGTAACATGTGTGTCAGAAAGATTGGAATAATTGAGGGTGTTTTTGGTTGGGTATTAGAAAGTAATGAATCTAAACGATAATAATTGATTACATTTGGTTCAATTAAAGAATAAAAATGAAATAAAAAAAATGATGTTTTATTTCAAAAAATTAATCAATCATTATAACAGATTTGGTTAAAAATCATTCCTGCTTACCAATCTCATTTTCATTCTTTAAAGCGTACCAAACTGAAGTATGCTACTCTCTTTCTCTCTCTCTCTCTCTATAGTTGTGACAACAGAATTGGTGTTGTAAGTACGGCCAAATGATATGAAACATATAACAGCAGTTGTGGTAGAAGTGGTAGTGGTGACTGACAGATCTACATGTACGAGATATATAGGGGCAGTTGTCCCTAACAGAAATTTCAACAAATGTACGAATTTATTTTTGGGGTTGTTATTCATACCCCCTATTCGGTCATACCATTTTTTTCTTACTCTTCCTTACTTACATACCCCTACGATGAATTAATTAACAGCAGGTATCCATACCATGTATCGAGCATATGGACATGCATGCATTCTTTTAATCACATTCTCTCAACGCACATAGAGACGTCGGTGTTGTTATATAGAAGGAACAAATCAGCTTTTGATAATACAAGTCTCATAATATGAAATCCTCGTACATCCAATGACTTTATGTCATGTGTTATGATGTCATTAGGTATTAAATCAAAGTGTATGTTAATGTATATGTGGAAGAGTTGAAACGACAACCATAAATTTTTCCATGGGCGGTTACAAAAACATCAATCCCATGATTATATTTAAAATAATATGTTAATTTTTTTTTTCCAAATTATAGATGACTTGTTATTTTAATATGATAAGAAACTTGAATGTTCTATCTTCAACATATATGTAGTCGCCAATGTTCATATGGTGTATATATTGTTCACATGTGTTACAATGTGTTCATAATACAATATTTATATAGATCTAACATTTGGTCAATATGTGTTCATAAGTGAAACACTTTGATCATATATTATTGTGTTTACATGTGAAAGCCGATTACTTTAGTGTTCGTGAGTTCTAATAGATGCAAATAAGTGTTCACAAGTGTTCCCGTATGTTCATATGTGAAAGCCACAAACTAAGATTAGTTAATAAGTTACATATATGTTTATATGTATTAATAAGTGTTCATAATGTAACACAGATGATTCTACAAAACTATAAAAGAAATGAGCAATTACCGATTTATAACTGATGTAATTAATTAGTTATCGATTTGGACATCCCTCCCAAAAATACCTCTATTCACCTATGTTTTAATATCCTTCATTTTTAGTTAATTACAAATATGCCACAATTGATCTCATCCATAGGTTTTAAGAATCAAGGGCCAATATTGGTTCACAAAGTTAACACCAATTATTGTGTTAACACACTACCAAAAAACCCACTTTTTCCGGCGGATTTCTGGCGGATTTGGCCGCCGGAAAAAGTGGCGCCGGTGATTGTTTTTCCGGCGGAAAAACCGGCGGATTTTCCCCGGGAAATTCTTCGCCCGTTTATTTATAAAATCTTGATTAACTTAACAAACGGTTAAGTATTTAGAAAAAAAAATTCCGGCGAATTTATTTCTCGCCGGAAAAAAATAATATTTTCTAAAAGAATAATTTTTTTTGAACTCAACCCTATATGTATATATGTATAGTGTTGGGTTCTGGTGAGAGGGGAAGTTATAGTGAGAATCGTAAGAAGAGATCTCCATCCTTAAGTCAATCTTAATTGAATGTCAACACTAATGAGGTGCATCGAGATGAAACATATTAATTTTCTTGCAAAGTGCAATTCATGGGTGGACATGAGATAAAAGTGATCAATGATTCAGATATCTGCTAACGTTTCTCACAATAACTTCCATTCTCACACGATCCAACCCCACAACTTTATATATTACATCAATTTCTATAAAATAGGTTTCATCAACATATGATGTGAATATTTTTTCTTGTATATTCCCGATTGGTTTGGGTTTGAACTTCAAAGGTTAAAAGTGTCGGAAGGTCCCAAGTTCAAATTCAAGAAGGAATAAAAACCCCTTTGTAGCCACAGAGGTCCAAATGTGATCACTCAGGCTACCCGCAAAACAAATAGTCAGTCGCTATGGAATTAATCGGTTCATATAACGGGTTGGATATCCAGATTAATTAAAAAAACACATCTTCAATTTAGTTGCATTTTATATGAGGTAGTTAGACATTAAAAACGAAAATGATATATAAAAATAAACGTGCATTCTATAATAAATTGATAATAAATAATATAAAATAATTATTTTAGTTTTTATAGATCTATAAACTTTAATAAAAAAGAATTATGTGATCCTTATCTAATTCACTACTATAAAATAAAGTATCAACGATAGAAATTAGCGACGGAAAAAATCCTCCTAGATTAGCAGATCTACGAGCTTTTGATCAACAGACAATCAACAGACGATCAACGATGGAAGACCCTTTTAGCGACGGATCAACGAATGAATTTTCCCTCACTAATACTCTTATTTTTTTTTATTAAAAAATTAATTTATAAATTAATTTTGTGTTATTAATCGAGTCTTTTTAATAAATAAAATTGTTTTCCTATTTTTTGTTAAAATAATCCGTTAGGTATTTATTTGATAATTTGTAGGGACCTGACAGCTGCTTCAAGCCTGTATAATTAGTTGCATTCTGATCTCAAAATATATATAAAAATGATTGGCAAGGTGTATTTAATTTATGTCTCACAACAAGTTTTAATATAATAATATTTTTTTTAAATATATGAATAAATAAACTTTAATATTTTAGCACAACTAGTAAATAAGGTGTGGTGTAAAGAAATATAAAAAAACTCAACCTTAAAGTTTAGTTCGGAGTTGATTCAGAACTGATTCAACTCTGTTCGAAAAAGTCAGGTCTAATAAGTCCGAGCCTAAATCTGGCCTTAAAGTCGAATGAGACCAGTTTTTTTCATTTTCAAGGCTTGGTTAAATCTCGACCTGAAAAAGCCCGAAAAGCTTCAAAAACCCGATCGGACCTCTTCGATGCGAAAGCGCGCCCTGGTCTTGAAACAACCCAAGCTTTTTCTTTTTTTGTTTACTGAAAAACGGTTTTAATAAAAAGACTCAAGCTTTGTGCATCTTTAGTGTGGGAGGTAAGATGCATAGAAACATTTTTTTTATTAACCTGGATATCCAACCCGCTATGCGAGCCGACTAATCCTAAGGCGACCACCTGCTTTGTAGATATCCCGAAGTCACCGCATTTGAACCTCCGAGGCCACAAGGGGATTTTTATTTCTCCTTGTATTTGAATCTGAGACCTTCTGGTACTTTTAACCTTTGGAGCCAAGCTCAAACCAATCAGGCACCACCCTTGTGGTTAGCATAGAAAGATTTTTCGTGCCTTGAGATAAGGAGGACAAAGGTATTTCCGAGAAAACTCTCGACTTACAAACATACATCATAATATATGAATTTATGTATTCGACATACAAGTTCAGGACATGTCACAAACATGATCTTTTGGCATTTTCCGATTAACGTGGTCCTTAACGGACTCGTATGCGTGCACGAAGTCTAGTTTTCAAATGATTCCAAATAATAAGATAACAATATGAATAGTGAGTTTCATATGAAATGTATGAAAAATGTAGTCAATTTTTCATGTGATGTTTAGCAGACACATAATTAATAATTAATAACTAATTTATAATAATGAGATTAATTATCCATTTGATATTTAAAATAATATAAAAATATGATATTTGATTTACAGAAGAAATAGATTAACAAATTAAATATCAATTGGTATGCATTATAACTATCATTTCCAGTTTCTTAAATCATTTAATAAGATAAAGCAAAACAATACAAAATACTTTTTTTATATAAAATGACAAATTACATAAAAAAAGTAATGTATTTTAACTTCATTTATATTTTAGGTAACGTATCTTTAAAACTTTCATTTTGGTATCTAAGATGTAAAGTTTTAAAAATTTAAATACCCGGGTAACAAGTTGAAGCATTAACCGGTTATCAAACTGATGTGGCGAGTGAGGGGGATGAAATTGGATTGAATAGCAAATAATACTGAGTTGGATATGACATCATTCGTCACATCAGTTTGGTAACGGTTAATGCTTCAACCGGTTATCCAAGTACTTAAATGTTTAAAACTTTAGATCTTAGATACCAAAATGAAAGTTTTAAAAATACGTTACTCAAAATAAAAATCAAATTAAAATACATTACTTTTTTATACAATTTATCCTATATAAAAATCAAGAATATTATAATTGGAAGATGTGATAGTTATTATTCATTCAATATCTCATTAAATGCAAACTTTGAAGAAGTAAATATTGGCATATTGATTCATTAAATGAATACTTATATTTCAACACCAATAATTCTTCTTCCTTTTCGTTTCAAAATAAATGTTTATATTATTATTTTAATTTATTTTAAAATAAATATCTACTTTACTATATTTTTTTTATTAACGTGAATATCCAATCCGTTATACGAGCCGACTAATCACAAGGCGATCACTTGTTTTGCAAATAGTCCGAAATCGCTGCATTTGAACCACTGTGGTCACAAGAGAATTTTTATTCCTCCTTGGATTTGAATCTAAGATCTCCTGATACTTTTAACCTTTGTAGCCAAGCTCAAATCAATCAAGCACCACCTTTGTGGTTTACTTTGCTATATTTAACTGCGTGATGAAGAAAATATATTTTTTATAATTAAAGATTAAACTATCATTTTATTAATTAAAAGTATAATAATTATACATTTCTTAAAATGTATATAGTTTTTATTATAGACATTTATTTTTTAACCAAAAACATTATTTTTTAAGAAAATTTTGTTTTGTTATTTAATTTATCGACTACTTTTTTATAAATTTAATTATTTATCAAATTTCTCATTATCAAATAATGTTGAGATGAAAACCTCTCTTACATGATACCATGCTCATTATACATCTAATTAAGTCTACACCATAATACATTTACGTGTCAAATTGCTCTGAAATCGAGTGATCTGCAGGTGTCAACCCTTTTAAAGTCGAGCGTTTTAAGTCTTTGAGGACAGCTAAAAATCGGGCGACACATAAACGCTGATATATATAGAAGATGACTCATCTCTTTACTGATAATTTAATTTTTACGGGTGTTTATGTCATCAACGTCTTTTTGCTCTTTCCTTCTCCTTGGTTTCTTTAGCAACTTCAAGAGCCTCCTCTAATACGGGTTCCATCATATCCTCCATCTTATCTTGCATTTCTTGAACCTGAAAGTAAAATATTAATACAATTTGTGACTAAGACAAATTTGAATTCATAGGATGTTAAATATGCCTAAATATTCTAATAGACTGCTATTATAAAATTTAGATTTATTGGATTAAACAATGTGACGGTCTATATAAAGATGTTACAACTTGATATTACAACATTTTTTAAATAATGTCATAAAAAGATTTATTAAGCACTTTATTTTAAAAAAAGTTCACACATCAAAAAGCTTTCTATCAATCATAACATATTTATATATATATATATAATGCACCAGTTTATTAGTAGACTTAGGGGTTGTTTGGCAGTTGCTGAATGGTTTAGTACAGAATGATTAAGAGACTCTCATGATATAGTGCAAAATGAAATATAATTGTTTGGTAATTTTTTACAATGAAATTAGGGTGCTGAATGTTTAACGGGGGTTCATGATACAAAATTATTCGGAGGGTTTTAGAACTATTAAGAGACGGATTTTTTTTTTTTTCAAACAAGATTCACCTCTTAACAGTTTATAGACTCTCCTTAAAAGAACTATTAACAATTAAACAAATAACCCCTTAATAAAAAAACATGGTTGTATATTTAGAATTTTTACGTGTTAGGTATGAAACTTTAATATTATAAAAACTACAATTAATAATTATAAATCCATATATTTTCCAACCAGCCCAACATTATTAGTACTTACTACTAAATTTTAATATTTACTAGTAAGATTTTAAATATTAAGAGTTATACATTAATAAATAACTTTATACTTAATAATATTTTTATTATACTTTCATATAAATGTTTTATAATATGATATAGATATATGTTTGTTACTGTCGTACCCAATTAATTGGTTTGAACTTGGACTCTAAAGATCAAAAGTGTCTGAAGGTCCTAGCTCCATGTTCGAATCCAAGAAGGAAATAAAATCCCCTTATGGCTACGGAGGTTCAAATGCGGTGACTCCAGGCTACCCGCAAAGCGGGTGGTCGTCCTGAGATTAGTCGGCTTGCATAGCGGATTAGATATCCAAGTTAATAAAAAAAATATCTTTCGAAGAAAACTAACCTTATCTATGAAATCGCCGGCAATATGAGCATCTTTTTCGACTCTTTCAGCCACACTTTCGATGTAATCAAGAGTCTTCTTGATTTGGCTACCTTCCGGTAGATCATCTTCGATTTCTTCCACCACTTTGTCCACCTTATCCGCCACCGCTTCCACTATATCCGTTATATGCTCCGCCGTGTCCACAATCTGATCAACTTTCTCTGTAAACAACGAAAACCCAATGTAATTTTAACATAAAAAAATATAAATTTGTAAAAATTCATCAGGAACTTCATTAGATTACTTTTCAAAAAAGTCTTTAAGCAGAAAAGAGAGACATCAAGAAAAATGATCCAAGTTTACCATACGAGAGACTTTAACAAGTCCCCTCCAACAAAATCTAAACGACTACGATTGATCTTTAACGTCCAAGTCTCTAAAATGATACACTTTGACTCTGATACTATGTAAAAATATATCTGAAACCCCATTAAATTACGATCAGTTCAAGAACTTACGCAGAAGTAATTTTATTGGACCTCCTTTGGTGGTAACTAAAGGAATAATAAATGTCATCAAAATCCCAATAATCCAATTTTTCCTACAAAAACAAACAGAAAAAAAATTAATCCAAAATAAATAAAAAATCATAAATTCATACAATAAAAAGATTGTTTTCAAGATTACCAAGAACCAGGAGGAGAACCAGTAGGCGGTGGAGGTGGTGTTCCGGCAGGTTCCACGTTAGCATGAACAATCATCGACCGCCATCTGGCGGTGGAGATGGTGGTGGCGAGAACTGTTACTGGGTTGTTGGTGATCGGAAAACCAGAAATGATATTCAATGGTAGATTAACATGGGATCTGTGATTATGAATTAGGGTTTCATGCAGATTTGATTTAACAGTGGAATTTTGTGAAGCCAAACACGTAGTGATCGACATGGTTTAAGATCTTGAGAATTTTTGCAGGTATTGTTTCTTGAATAAAATGAAGGTAAGTGGAAGCAATTATGGAATATATACACGCATATAGAGACAATGATGTATTTTTAATTATTTGATATTATTTATATATTTATTTTAAAAATAAAATGATGGAAAAGTAATTTAAGGTGGTACATAATCACGTGTTTTTGTGGAATAATTATTAGGGTTTCCAGAAGGAGTGTTTTGACATTTTTATCCTTGTATCATGAAGTTGTTGGTGAAGAAACCAAAGGAGTGAATTGTCCAATTGGTTTGTTAGGCCAATCATAGTGTTAACACTACCACCTACTCACTTTATGTTCCCATTTACATACCGTTTGATACGCAGATTGGGTGAGACAGGATGGGACGGTATGAGACAGGACTAATTGTCTGTCTTATGTTTGGTACAATTAGGACATGACAAGACAAAATTATTAAAATGACCATATTACCCTTAAATGTTGTTCAATGTTATTTCATATCATATAATGATTGTAAAATGACAACAAATCAACCAAAATATTGTCACATTAACTTTAGTCTCATGTTGTTCCACCTTTTTTTGTGGAACAAGAAATATCAAGATTTGTCCCATTAAAATTAAAAATAGTCTCACCTTGTCTTATGTTTTTTTTCTCCATGGCATGCCAAACATGAGACTATTTTTTTTGTCCCGTCCTATTCCATATAGTCTGCATACCAAACGCACACTTAGCAATTATTTCATAGAGTAAATTAAGGTTATTTTTAGTAACTTGGATATCCAACTCATTATGCGGGACAACTAATTTTATGACGACTACTTGTTTAGGGGTCGTCCGAAGTTACCGTATTTGAACCTTCGTGGGCATAAGAGGATTTTTGTTCCTCCTTGGATTCGAACATGGAACCTCCAGACACTGTTGATCTTTAGAGACCAAACTCAAACCAATATGACATCACCGTAAATTACGTTTTTAGTCCACGTGATTTGTTAACAATTGTGTTTTTTGTTTGGTTTTTATAGTTTGTAATTTATTGATGTTTTCGTTTTTAATATTAAATCCTACATTTGAGTGTGAGAGATTAAAATAACAATGAATTGTAAACAACAACAATGAAAAGACAATAAATTTTAAATAATAAAAACAAAAATAACAATAAGGTATAAATTATAGGGATGGAAATTGTAATTTTAAAATTATAGGGGCGAAAATAGCAACTTTCAACAAACCATAAGGACGAAAAGTATAATTTACTCAATTTAATATAATGTTTAATATTTTTCTTTTGTTTTTAATAATTATATTAGATATATAAGGGCACTTTACCGTATTAAAAAGTATTTTTTATTAAACTAAATTAATTATTATAAAATTATAGAAATGATGTCTTTTTTATCATCTTTTTGTTTTTATTATATTTTTAATACAACTAGAAATCAACACTTATAATTGTCATGTCTAGGATTTGGTTCACATGATACCAACATGTTTTTGTGAGACAAATGAAGTCATTTTTTATATTTGAAACTTCACAGCAAAATATTATGAAGGTAAAAAAAACGAACATTCACAACAAAAACACTGTAAAAGTTACCTTCACAGCGTTTTGCTGTGAAGTTTCAAGTGTAAAAAAGTGATATCACAAAAACAAGCTGGTCTCACATTATATCAAGTCGTCATGCCTATATTTGTTCCCTGTAACGAATATAATAAATTTTAGCATTATGCTAACATTAACATAAACACAACATATAAAACGAGCAAATAAGATTAGACTTATAACACCTAGAAGATAAACAATATAAAAAATGGGTACGTGGAAATATGACGAGACTGAACAGAATACGACATGACAATATAAAACCCGTTTTTCCATTTTGGCACGCCATCATATATACTAATTAATTAGACGAGACCTAAGTAGAACAATAATACATTTTCTCTGTCCTACTAGCATCAGGCGCATGAATAAAAAAACCAGATAGATATAATTAACAAGATTAATAAATTGTAAAAACTACCCATATCAGATTAAAATCTTAAATATTTAAAAACTTATCATTTGTCTATTTGTCATTTTTACCTGTCTAGTTTAATTCCATCTAGTCATGTTTACATACCAAAATTACGTCCTCAGAAAGTTATATCATAGGTACGTATTTTTTAAAACGCATTTTTGAAAATAGAAATTAAAACAAATACATTAATATTTTTTAAAATTATATTTTTGGTAAAAGAAAAAAAAAGAAAGGATGCACATTGGAAATGTGGAAGTGCAATCAAATAATTGGAGATGCATGTGAGGTTAATTGTTTATTGAATAAATTATTTAAAAATATTATCTTGTAAATAGAATTCCACATGTTAAACGATTCCTTTAAGTTAGGATATATACACCAAAACCGTTGACCAAAAAGACCATTCGATCCAGAATTGTTTACGAGACCGATCTAAATATCTTTTTTTGAACCATAAAGATGGTGTTCAATTGGTTTAAGCTTGAACTTTAAAAATTAAAAATGTCTAGAGGTTTCATGTTTGAATCCAAGGAGGAATAAAAATTATCTTTTCGTCACGGATGCTCAAATGCGGTGACTTCGCGGGTGGTCACTCTGGGATTAGTCGACTCGCATAGCAGGATAGATACATTGATTAATAAAAAAAATATTTTTTTATTGTTTGAGTTAAAAATAAATATAGGGATATTTTTTAACGAAGGAAATAACATTCGTTTGTTCGTTAGTTCATTAGTCACGTGTTCATTATATATAATCGTCATTAATCATTAGTAATATGTTCAAGTCTTTTATTGCAATTTGTTTTTTATAAATATAATAAATCTAAAATTAAAAGCTAAAAAATAATAAAATGACATTAACGAGATTCTAATTTAGGTCTAGGGTAGAAGAAAAACTCTGAAAACCAATTCTATCAAGGGAAACTTGTGTTCTCATTAGTTTCAAAATATATACGGTGAAATACAATGAATTGATACAGTGACATGTTTTACGACTTTATAATTTTTTACATTACGACAGAAGAATGAAGTCCATCCATTAGTGTTTACAAGGGTTTAGATTATATTTTACTAAAATATTAACAATTAATTTATTAACTAATTTATCAATCATGGTTCGAAAAACCAGAAACTAATATTTAATTAATAGCCACAAATATATATATATATATATATATATATATATATATATATATGATTTAATAATGAAGAGAAAATATAAGTATTGATTACTGATCTAAACGTCATCTACAATAATCAATAACATACTTTTTATAATAAAATCATATAAATTTTACAATTAATCTATCCTCATAATTAAGTGCTTATACAACTAACCCTTTTTTATTAATATATATATATATATATATATATATATATATATTTGGGATCACGTGAGACCATCTTTGTTTTTCCTGAGACTCGTGAGACCATTTTTTCACACTTGAAACTTCACAACAGAATGCTTTGAAAGTAACCTTCACAGTGTTTTTGCTATGAAGATTTGACTTTTTTTTTTACCTTCACAGCATTTTGCTGTGAAGTTTTAAGTGTAAAAAAAGGTCTCAC